CTTGCAAAGCATATGATATACATAAAGCATGCCACTTTTGAGAGTCATGATGGATCAAAATGAATATTGATTTACAAAGATTTGGTCCACTATTCAAATGCAAGGTAGAGAATTAAGTCCCACTGCTATTAAAACATGCATTGGACTTTCATTCCTCTAGCAAAAATGATGTATTAATAAAGATTTTAAGCTTCCAGGTTAGTGATAATTGAGATATAAATATAATGATCAGATCTAAGTTGATGCTTATGATCAACTTAGGCTTCATTTGGGGTAGCTTTTTTACTGCTTATTAAAGCAACTTTTTAGTACAAAATTACAAACTTTATACAAGAATGCTGCTTTAAGAAGCAGTAAAAAAGCCGCCCCAAACAAAGCCTTAATCTCATATATGATCAAATTAATCTCAATGAAGTTTGCATTAAAAGATTATATTGATCTCAGAAACATGAGAGTAGTAAGAACAAACTAGGGTTTCACCACAATGGTTGAGTAGGTTGACACAAATTCCAATGTGATCGATTCAGAAAAATTTGCAAGATGATCAATGTGATTGAACGACAAAGAGTTGCAAGACGATCACTCGTATCAAGAAGATAATGAAATCATGAATCTTGATGTTTGTGAATGAATAAATGATATTTATTATGGGCTATTGTTTGGAGCCATATAGGATTGAGAAGTCAAAATCATTCTTTTTGTACATCATATTTACTAATATGTATCTTGTACCAACTAAATGCATGCTTGTACAATGGGGGGGGCAAATATTTGAAGTGGTTGATATTTTTTTTAGAATGTTGACCAGAAATTTCACAATCATATGACTTATAATTTGAGCCATCCCAAAGGAAAGTGAAATCCAAACTCCACATGATCATTAAAGTCAATTTTGCTTCTTTGAGAGTATTCTTACATGAGAAGGGCATTCATAAAAGTAAACATATTCAATCAATTTTTTAGAAAATATTTATAACTAATAACTTATATAGTATATGAAATGTTTCATCATGTAAATTTGAATTATTTGATATGAAATTTTCCGCATTTATAAGAGTCAAGAATCATTCTTGATTGAAAAAAAGATAATATCTTAATACATTCTCTAATATATCCATATAAATTTAGGCAAGGTAATATGAAAAGAAAAATATTATGAAAAAAAATTTAAAGTATTGGGCACTCTCTAGGATACTTCATATAAAAATAATACTTAAGGATATACTAAGGCTATTTGCCAATGACATCAAAATCGGTCCAATCTGATCTTAAATCAGTCCAAATAAAGGAACCAAAGCATATTTGAAAGGTTCAAAGCATAAATTGGATGATCAAATGATATCCAAATATAACATGCTTATATTTGAATCGATCGGCTCGACGAGAAAAATCCAACAAGCCCAAGCCCGCTTAATTCTAACATCATATGTGAATATAAATGCTTGAAAAATACTCAATGATTGACGATATCAATATGGGACGTCCGATGGAGCACTTCTATTTTTCCCTAAATCTTCTCCATATTTACGAGACATGCCAGTCTCAAAAATCTATAAATAGACTCCCACTTTCCACATGAAAGGGAGTTTGGACCTTTATAATCTTGGACCCTTTGACTGGATATTGGAGAGAGCTCGAAGGCTTCAAGGACTCTAGAGTTCTACTCAAGCACTACCGTCGGCGAACTTCAGTCGACAACCACTGGACCATGCTCAATCGCCGCTTATCGTTTAGCCATCTCCCGGCCATCAACCGTTGTCGGATCACCACTCATCTACCGACCGCCGCTGAGCCTCCACCAGAATGCTCACTGCTGTTGGAACTCTGTCCGATCGCCAGCAGTCATCAGACCATGGTCCGTCTACTAATCAGAGCCAAACCTTCTTCGAGTCATTGACTGTAGCTGAACCAATGATGGCTGCAACTGACACACCACTCTAGACTCCATCACCCGCCCACTATGATCCATTGTCGCCCACCAAATATGGTCCATTGAACCACCATATACCGCAGGACTACGATCCATTGGACCACCGTCGCCCATTGGCTATGGTCCCTCCATCCAACGTCACCCGCAGACTTCGATCCCTCCGACCTCAGTCGTCCGAGGACTACGCACCCTTAGACCTCCATCGCTCGCCGACTATGGTCCCTATGACCTCCATTACCCACGAACTACGGTCCCTCCAACAACCATCATCTGCCGACTACGGTCCCTTCTACAACCATCACCCGTCGATTACGGTCCCTTCTACAACCATCACCCGTCGACTACTGTCTCTCCGACCATCGTCACCCACCGACTACGGTCCGTCTGAGCTTCGCCACATGTCAATTACGGTCCCTCCTACCTCCATCTCGCGTCAATTATGATCTCTTCGACCACCGTCGCTCAACTACAGTCCTAACAGACAAACAAACAGGCCAACACTCTCTTGGGAGCAACTCTCACATCACTAAATTCTTCAAACTCCCAACATGTCCCACCTTGTAATGTGCTCTATATGATATATATTTGTTACATTGAGCCAAGACCTTCCCCCGAGTAATAGCCTCATTTATAATCAACTAAAAATATAGTGGATTCTTTTCAAATGGGCTAGGCCAACGTCACCCACAGAGTTCGATCCCTTCGACCCCAGTCGTCCGCCTATTACGCACCCTTAGACCTTCATCGCTCGCCGACTATGGTCCCTATGACCTCCATTACCCACAAACTATAGTCCCTCCAACAACTATCACCTGCCGACTACGGTCTCTTCTACAGTCATCACTCGTCGACTGGTCTCTCCGACCATCGTCACCCACCGACTACGGTCCCTCTGAGCTTCGTCGCTTGTCGATTACGGTCCCTCCTACCTCCATCTCGCGCCAACTATGGTCTCTTCAACTACCGTTGCTCAACTACAGTCCTAACGGACAAACAAACAGGCCAACACTCTCTTGGGAGCAACTCTCACATCACTAAATTCTTCAAACTCCCAACATGTCCCACCTTGTAATGTGCTCTATATGATGTATATTTGTTACATTGAGTCAAGACCTTCCCCCGAGTAATAGCCTCATTTATAATCAACTAAAAATCTAGTGGATTCTTTTCAAATGGACTATGTCCCATGATTTTTACCCTTTTCAGGGTTTTTCATGTAAAAATCTTAGTATCTCTTATGTCTCTAGCACCCATGTATGTGTGCTTAATCTTCATTCAAAACTATAACGCTAAGCTCTTTATCGCTCTACTTATATATAATTATACAAATATTAAATCTATATTGATGTTTTTTTTTTCGGGTCTCCATCTAGTGGGATAAATTATTGTTGTTGATGAGGATGTTTTCCTTCTGAAGGGATATGAAATTCACATTAAATTTGAATAAATATTTTCTCATTCAATTGGTAAGCGCGCAGAATTTCCATTTTCAAGTACACGTTTTTAAATTCAAAATTCTTTGTCAGAATTTTCTTCTGATTTAAATATCGCATATACATGGAATGGTTGAAACCAATTCCAAACTTGCAGCTATATTATAATTTGCTTTATTTAATTCTTTCATAGCTATCATTAACTTTGGATATTTTAAGAAAAGCTAGGCAGCGACAATACCATTTTTTATTCTTCTAGCTTTAATAATTTTCCTTATTAGCTCAATGTATTATTGCTTTCCGTTTTAAGAGCTCTTCAACAGAGGCGAAGAAAAATCTGGTAGAAGCCAAAGTGTGCTGAAGGTGTCGGTGATCAGAGTTCTCCTGAAACAAATATCGTCAAATCTTTGTAAGTTTTTTAATCTTGTTTGAATGATCGTCTTCGTTCTAAGATCAAAATATTTCCTTAATTTTTTTTTTTTAATTTTTGGTACCTAAATTGTTACATCAACGTAGTAATATTTGTTTTTTTTTTTTTTACATTTGAAGGCTTCAAACGATTTTGTTTTTGCTTCTTAATGCAGCTTTTTTAATAAATACTTTTACTAAAAAATTATTTTAAGAAACAATAAAAAAATCGTCCCAAATGAAATGAAGTGAAAACCTTTGTAAAGATTTTATGTGTGCTGTTTCATGTTAGTTTTTTTTTTTTTGCATACTTTTTAAAATTTAGATCTACTTACTTTTTTTTTACAAATAAAGCTTTTTAGTTTTACAATCATGTAAATTTTTATGAGTTTAAGTAATTTCTGGAAAAATATTAATTTGATCTGCCACACAATTCAAAGTTTATAAGCTGGCTCTGCTAATTTTCTTTAATTTAGCTATGTGGAATAGTTGATTAGGTAGTTTTTTGAATTTTATAAAACCGCCCTTTTTAGTCATTCGATAAAAATAGTAGTTTTCTTAGGGTTTTTTATAGACAAATTGAAATGGAAGGAAATTGCATACTGACATTTTATTGGCTGCTGAGAAATTTGTTAATAAGAAATTTTTTATCAAAATTAGTTAGAATGAAATTGAAAAAATATTGAATTATTTTAAAATGAATATAATATATAAATAATTAATTTATATAATACTCACCTTAAAATAAATTTAATGAAATTAAAACCTGAAAAATTAAATAAATCTGAATATCCTACCCACTTGTTTTAGCTGATGAAAATCTACGAATAATAAGTTTATTTTTAAAAATATTTAATTTTGTTTTATTTTCTTTATTTTTAATTCTTAAATATTATTTTAATGAATGATTATAACTTATAGCTCATTTGAAAAGTTTTATAGAGTTACGTTAAATGCACCACGCAATAAAAATTATTAGTTTGTATAGTTTTTTGTGATCCAATAAATATTAAAAAAATATATCTAATATTTATAATAGAAATATATATTTATTATTTTTTATTATATTATATTATAATATTCTGAGATATTTAATTAAATAAAAACATTACAAATCTAAATTTTCAATGAGGGTTATGGTTGTAATAAGGATAGATTTCCGGATTAATGTGCTAATATTTTCAGCTATTCTCGAGAAAGATAACTGCAAGAAACGATCAACTTTGTCTGCGTGTAGCGGTGGTCTTTTACATCACGTATCCACACACTCTCTCTCTAGGCTACAGAAATGTTTTCCTTCATGCTTCTCCTCGTCTATAAGAACGGGGCCAGATCCCGATTCGCATCCAATGTGTTCGATGAATTGACCTCTCGATCTCTATGCCTTCACTATCACCGAGTGAGACGAAAGTCTTTTGCTGTATATTTTGATCCCTGATCTTCGGAATTAGGCAAGATCGACGATTTTTACTGTTAGAGTCAGTTTTCTCGTTTCCTTGCCTCAATTGTGGATCTCCTGGTACGTTTTTGTTGGGGTTTTCTTAATGTTCTTTACTTTTGAGGATGGAGAGTGCGTGATTCACTGTATTTCGAGGAATGCCAATTTTGGTTAAGTTGAGGCTGTACTTTGTTTTATGTTGTTGATTGCCAAATTAGATTTATAGCTGAATTAGTAGTAATGTTCTGACGGTTTATGTATGGAACGGGAATATTGTGGAGAGGAAAGCTTGTGTTCTAGTTAGATTTACGTTTCCCTTCAGCTTCTGATCACTTTATCGGCCTCTTCTCTGACTTCTGAGTTGAGTTGTGGATCTCGTTTAGGGTTTTGGTATTCCTACGTTCGCTAGAGACCGGTGCAATTGGTTGTAAAAGTGGCCAGTTTATGATTAAGCAAACGGCAGCGTTGCCTCGATTTTGAAGAAAGAACATCAAAGTGGAAAAGGGCATTAGAGTTTGTTGAAAATATTTGGAAAATCAAAATTTTTTTTGTAGATTAAAAAAAAATTTACATGAAATGATAAATTGAGATCTTCAAATATAAGACAGTTGTAGAACCTTTATTGGTGTAAAGCAAATTTAAATAATTTGAGAAACACAGAAAAGCCTATAGATTGTGTCTCTACCATAAGTGCAAAAGTGACCCTTTCGTGCAGTATTCCTTGCGATTGTTGTCAGACCTTGAGTTCAGAAGACAATACACACTAGAATTATAGGGCGTGATGAAGATTAATCTCAACTCATGAATTAGACCTCAAAAGTTAGAATGAACGTAAAAAATTCTTTATAAATACTTGTAAATAAAACACGGCTAATTGAACCAGTGAAATTGGTGAATTGAACCAGTGGAGGAAGCCATGCTGGTAAGTTTTTTATCGATATCATTAGAGTATAGGGAGGAGGGTGTGGCGACAAAGTGGATGAAGACGGGAGTCAAGAGGTAGCAATTGAGGTTCTGAGGCTTCATTACAACAAGCCCTTGTATGTTAGAGAGGAATGGGGGTGTTAGGGGAGGCATTATGTGAAGGGAGATGGAAATGCCCTTGGCGTTATGAGGGATAAATGAAGAATGTGAAAGATGAAAGAAAAGGGTGATATTAAAATTATGATTGGATGATAAAAGACTCAGAAGGGTGGTGAAGTAAATTATATATTCAAGCTTCAAGGACCTATAAAGGGAAAAAATATTTGTTCTATGTGTTGTAGATTCGAAACTTACTTGACGGACCTTCTGCAAAATATCTTTGTTTGATTCCCTTTGTGAAGGACCTTCAGTAATTTTTTCCTTTTGATTTTAGCATTCCAATTAATGGCATACCTTTTGGTCCCATTGTTGTGGAAACTGCCATAGTTAAAGCTATAAAATGGTAATAAACATGATTGTGCTACTTGCCCTTTTTTGTTTGGTATATTCAAACCTGAAGTTCAAAGTTCATTTGATATTGAACAGGTTTTTTATATGGCTTAGAATAGAAATCGTAGCAACAGCTGTGTCTATTATTCTTGTCAATGTATCTTGATGCAAGAATCTTTGTTTTCTATCTATTGATTGTAGTATCTGTACGTTTTCTGATATAGGTAACCAATAAATAACATATTTCAAGCAACTTTGGTTTTCCTTTGATCCTGTGGCTATTATGGTTGATGCAATACATGATGAGCTGCCTGCTAGAGCACAAAATGCTGAGCCTCTTCGACGACTAGAGATACTTGTTTATGGTGCCGGTCATATGTTAAATGACATAACGTCGGCTTGTTGGTTTACATATCTGTTATTGTTCTTGACCGACTTAGGACTAAGTCCAAGGTACACATTTCTCTTATGGATTATAATTATGTAATTGTAAGAAATATATGATAGTAGTTAACCATCTGTTGTCATCTAAATGCGAATTATTTTTTCTATTTCTGCATCATATGGAAGTTGGGAAAATTTTACTTTTTTAATGGGCAGTTAGAGCCTTACCTACTTTAACTATGTTAGCCACAGCCACATAAAAATTACAATCTTGCAGTGGATTTATTCTGACCCAATTCTTCGTTAAATAGCTGTTACTGAAGAATGGTTAAATAATTTTGTACTTTTAGTTAGAATTATTATCATGTTACTGCTCTAACATGCAATTTTGAAGTACAAAATACCGTCTTGATGGCTTTGTCCACCCTTGGTTCTGTAAACAGGCCATCATCTGTGCTTTTTGAAAAACTCTTATTTCAAACGTCTGTTTTTCCAATTCTGCATCGTATTGTTACCTACGATGTTTTGTTTTCTGCTAATTACAGGAAGTAAATTTTGGTCTATGTTTTTATAATCCTAGTGGATGCCTTCGTTTTGCATGCTTCTCTTTTAATCATTATAACTTTGATCCAGTATTCTCTCCTTATAAGACAGGGAGACAAAGTTGCTGCAAACCTTTCACTGGCTAGTTCTGAATCTGATTATTTGAGTGATTTTTTTAAGTTAGGTTATTAAGGCTTCAACTGAACCACCAGGATGTTAGTAAGAAGCCTTTTCTGTTTTTACTGTAAGCACGGAAGGCAATCAATGTTGCTTTTTTCAAAGCTACTAACCTGTGTCTACTAAAATCAAGGTTCCTTTTTCAAAGCTGCTAACTTATGTGTACTAAAATCTTGCGCCATTATTTTGTTTCTTAACTGTTCATTATCCATTCTTTCTTATGGGAAAGCTTATTTTGTGGTGCTAAGAATTAATTTGTCACCAGCATTTGAATTCATGACTTTGTAGTTAATTACAATGCTAAAGCTCGACCTTGATTTAATTACATCCCCATTGAAGTTCAATGGCCTTTCTTTACCTCTTCCTCATCTTGAATAATGAATATAGCCAAGCTTTCTCTCAAGATCTACGTTTGAGTTCATAGGCTACTTGATTACACCTGCTCATACTTTAGAACAATTAGTTCGAATATACATGTGGATGTTGTGTTTAGACTCCTCACAATTAACATGGGTCAACTAGCCAGGGAACTATAAATTAGCTCTTGTAATGTATGTAAAAGGTTCTTAAAATAACTAAAATCAATACCTAAGGGGCTACTTGGCCCTGTAAAGAAGCGCATTGCAGTTTAGAATGTTTGCAAATTGAATGTGGCTAATTTAGACACATTCACTTTAAATTAAAAAGCTTCAAGGTGTGCATCCACTTTTCATCTAATGAAATGGTTGAAAGATACGTCTTAAGCTTTTCCTCATGTTCTTTGCTTGAATTTTTGAACCTACAAACAGCCCAAAGTCAAATTTCCATGAAATTCTGCAGTAAAAGATTCAAGTTACCACGATATATGAGGTCATAATCCATATACAACAATTCCTAATCCAAAAAGTTGCAAGTTTATTCAAGATGAAATGCATTACCTCCTGCATCCATTACTGTGTTAGATAACTAATTTGATCAAAATAACTTGATCCTTGTAAATCCATACTTGGTAGCAATAAGTTTTTGTACAACACCTCTCGGACACCAGAATGCCTGTAGTCTCCTAATACAGTTTACACTCTCTTCTTAACTAGGAAGTTTGCAAGAAATTTTTTCAATGCCTATGTTATTTAATATAGTTTATTCCTGTTGCAATTTTCCTTGGTAGCATCCTCTCCCATTTAATGTTTAGTGGTTATCATTAAGAATGTTTTGAATACCACATTTTTGCAGGGATGCTGCTATTGTAATGCTTTCTGGTCAGGTGGCTGATGCTTTCACAACTATTTTTGCTGGAGAGTTGGTAGGATCTCTTGTCCTCATATATTATTTTATGCATTGCATGCATCATAATATGGAAGCATTTTTTTGTAACTTAGGTTTTATTTGGGACGACTTTTTTGTTGCTTCTTAAAGCAACTTCTTAGTATAAAAACTAAAAATTTTCCATTAAAAAGTTGCTTTAAGAAGCAGAAAGAAAGTCGTCCCAAACGAAGCCTTAGTCTTTTGTTTACAACTTTCGACTGCTGCTTTCACTCCTGATGCTGTTGTTCCAACTGTTTTAAAGAACGTTGGACATGAGAATCTAATATTGAATAGAAATTCATTAACGGTCATTTTATATGTTAAAGGACAAGTCAAAGTTAGTTTTGCATATAGAAGGAATTTCACCTTTTGGTATCCTTATTTACCAGCGTCAATTAAAATGCAGATCATAGGCCTAAATGTTAATCTCTTAGCTAGCATGCTGAGATTCTGATTAAATAAGATGCAGTGAATAAATTGTGGGCTCCAAAAATTTGGCTCCGGTCTCCATAGTGAATTTTACAACTGATTTTTTACTTTTTAGATTTTCCACGTAAAAAATTCTCTAGTGTCTCTAGTTTTATCTATTCGTGATGAATCTTTGTATATTGTTAAGATGTTAAACTCGCATTTTATCGACTCAAAATTTCTAGCTCATAACAATAATAATTATCTATGATTAAATTCAAACTTGTTATAACGCATGCGATCGTAATTAATATAAATAATATTTCAATTGTGATAGCATATCAGTTAATCATCGATTAATACTTTATTAAATTTATTAAATTATGATTTGTAATAAGTCAAATTAAATAAAATAGTATTAAATTTTAAAAATTAATTTGCGTAATTTTAAATCCTTTTTATTATTCAATATTAATTATTAAAATTACTTTTAGAAAAATATGTATTTAGCATTTCGCCTGACTCCTTACGGCGCCTAACCGAAACCGTCGACCGAAAAGCAGTGAAGCGGTGACGACGGGGAACTACGACGGGAGCTCTCGAAGAAGAAATGGCGACGAAACCCTCGAGGACGCCAATGCGGCTACCCAAAGGGCCAGAGACCTCGAAGAAAGGGAGGAATCGACGAATGCTCGCTGGCGAAGGCAAGATTCCCGCATTTTAATTTGTGTAAATACCGCAAATCCACAGAACTACCGGATTGATTAAATGTCGATCTAATAAAATCCCCTTCAAAAAACAGAAAATCACCATTCCCGCCCCTCTTTGCCGTTACGCCCTCGACGAGTGAAATCACGCACACACCCTGGCGAGCTCATTCCCTCCCTCTCGATATCTCATTCATTCTCTCGGTCTCCCTCACTCACGCTCTCTCCGGTCCTCCCATGCTCGACCCAGCCCGCCTCCCCATGCTAGACCGAGCGCTGCCGCTGAATCGCCGATCCTGCCGTTATCTCCTCCGTTTTCTCCTGTCTCCCGCTCTCTTTCTCCTATTTCTCTGTTTCTCACGCTCGCTCTCTCTTCCTTTCTCTTTTTCAATCTCGTTCTCTTTCTCTTACTCTCTCTATGTACCACTTTCTCTCTCTATCTCTCCCCTCCCTCTCTAAAAAACGAGAAATCGAAAAAAAGAAAAGGAAGCAAGGAAATAAAAAGAAGGAAAGAAAAAAAAAGATTTTTTATGTGTTGGCCTTGTCATCTCCGTAAATGCTTAAAACTCTCAAAATCAACATTGCGATGTGTATGGCGTGATGAGCGGAACATATGCCTGCTATTTTTAGTGTGGTAGATGACACCCGTAGGCTGCGCTCGCTATGAGCAAATAATTGTGTTTTTCCAATGCGGTGGAAAACTAATGTGAATTTTAAAATAAGTACATGAAGATCTATGCTCCTTTTTTTAAGTGTAGTGGAATAGAAGACCCTTAGGTCATTATGTCTCATGACACTGATCATACATACGTTTTTTAAGCTAATATGTATGCAATAAATCGACATTAGTGCAAAAGATTACCAACTTTGTTACCCACCATTTCCATTAAAATTGACAATCGATGCATGCCCTCACTTTTAAGGTTGATGACTTTGACTCCTGATGTTAACACTGATATTTATATTGGATTTTTTGGTTTTTGATATTCTCTCTACAAAAGAGAACAAACAAATAGACCTCAAATGAACCTTTGAAGATAAATCCTATGTTATAAGGCTCTTTTAGCTTTCTCCATGAAAAGGGTAGGCCAAATCTGAAGTGTTTTGAGGTTTAAAATACTTATCTATACTAGTTCTGACAGGAAATGCATTCTGAACTTGTTGGAATGAAGAAGGATTCATAGCTGAGTTAAACATTTAAAATGAGGCAATTTCTACTCATGCACTTCTCAACTTCATATTATTTTATGGTACAAGTCAAAAGCATGAGTAAAGTTGAGGCAAGGATTTTCATATTTATGGGTTTAGCTAATGTATTTCTTACGACTTTAATGTTCAACTCATGATCAGTTATGGCAACTCGTTGATAACATATCTCTGCTTTATTTTTTTCTACGCTTTTTTTTTCTTATTCTGGTACCAGAATGATGATACCATGATTATAATGTTGATCATTTTATAGTACTATCAATTGGATTGGAGTTCTTGGGATGGTTTGGAACTTCTAACTACGTTTGTCTACTTGTCCAAACTAATACACCCTGTTTTTGTTAGATTGACCGATTTGGACACTTCAAGAAATGGCATGCTGGGGGATCAATTTTGGTTGCAATTTCATTCTCTTCTGTGTTTGGTGGCTGCCTTCCTTGCAAAATTATTGGGAAAAATTCATCCACATTACAGACAATTGGCTATAGCTTATTTGCCGCAATTTTTAATGTGGGCTGGGCAGTTACCCAAGTTTCACACATGTAACATTCACCTCAATATTGCATTGTAATATTTGTAGTCTAGAGGCTTACATTTTCTCATTCACATTACTATGTTTATTGCTGTTTCTATTGCAGGTCAATGGTGAATTGCATTACTTTGAATCCAACAAGTAGAGTTGCCCTCAATAGCTGTCGTAATGCTTTCACTATGGTGATGTAATCTTCACTTGTATGAATGACATATGCCTCCCTCTTCATACTTGGATTTCTTGTTTCTAATGATGTTTTTGAATAGGTTGCCAATCTCAGCTTATATGCCTTCGCTTTAGTAGTTTTTAGTGTATATAATGCTAAGGCATATGATGGCATCAAACTTGAGGTATCTTTGTCTGTTTTGCAGATATGTGCATTGTTATTCTGTTGTGTGTTGTGTCACTTATTTAATCACTTTTCGATTTAATGTACAGTATCGCTGGATAGCCTACATGTCAATTTTCATGGGTTGCTGTTTTGTGGTTGTTTTTCTCATTGGAACCAAAGAACCAGCGTAAGAGGATGTTTTAAGGCGTTATTTTGTTCAAAATCCTATAAGCTTAATGGGATCATGACGTGGAACATTAATCTAGTGTTTTTCCTTTTAGTAGATCGACTTTTGCTTAAGCATCTTCTTAGGGCACTTGTTGGGTTATTTTTTTTCTTGTAGGCTGAAGCAGCGAAGGCATTCCGAAAGTTTTTCTAAAATATCCTGGAACTATTGGTTCAAGAAGGCCCTTTACTATCAAGTTGCTATCGTATATGTTCTTACGAGATTAATAACAAATGTCTCACAGGTGGGATCCCTAATTATTTCTTAGAAAGCGATGGTTAAGTTTACAATATGAATTTGGTAGAGCAAACTTATTATTTTGGCATGAAACTAGTAACAAATTTCTTATAGGTTAGTCCACTCATTTTGTTATGAATGAGATGAACTACTATGGTTGCTTTTTGAAATGGCACTGGAAACTTATTATAACGTTATTTTTTTTCCAATTTATGGGGCTCTTTTATCTTATAATTTATGACACCACAGTACTCATTTAATTAAAAAATGTTTTTGATTGTTTCTAATGAAGATCAACTTTGTAATATTCTTAGGCATCCGTTGTTAATATGAACTCAAAAATGCTCTTGCCAAATGTGAATGGACAACGGCTGTTTAACAAAGATACAGGCCTTTTTCTGTTGTAATTGCTTATCAAGTCATGAGGATATGTCCGGCAGCTCAAATATATGATAACATGTAAAATTTGAAAGAAAATCTGTTTTGAGGTATTGGGAAAATGAGTGTGGGAATGTATTTATTATTTGCTTGTTCATTTTTGCAAAATTAGTGTAGAATGGACTATGGAGTTCTTATTTGTAGTTCTTTTGCTCTGCCATCTAAACGATAGTTATTTTGTTTGATGGGTATTCTGGTTGAGAAAGGTTTGGAAATATCTTGGGTGTCAATTTCTTTCACTAAATTTCATTAGATCAAAGATTATATTTCTAAAAGTTGTACAAAAAAAGATTTACTAACAGATACTGCACTCAACAAGAATATATGAGGTTTCATAAAGTTGGCCCTATATAGTTAGGATAATGCTAACTAATGTTGATAATAATGATTCTTAAAAGCATTGTTGGTGTTATTAGGTTTAACTCATACATATCTCAACGCCATTTTTAATAAAACAATTAAGAGTACTGTATAATTAATAGTTCGCGTCTTTCATATTAGTTAAAGGTCTATCCTTAGCTACATAAAAAGTAGGAGAGAGCATTGAAATTCTGACAATGTATTTTCCTTGATCAGGCACTACTTGCATTCTATGTTATTGACGATCTGGGTATGCCTCAATCCTCCAAAGCTTTGGTAAGTCCTTCAATCTTCGTTATTTCATTTTTTGTTTGACTGACTCGGTAGTATAACAAGAAACGGCCACCACTACGATGACTTAAAATCTTATTAAAAAACTTTCTTGACCACTCAACTTACAGTTATGCATTATAGGATGATAACTAGAAAAGGGAAATGCCAGACCTTTACCAACAATTTGGAGTTGTTTTTTTTCTGAATTTTTTGTTTCATTTTTCCATGCTTTAGTGGATTATGATGAAGTGGTATCTAAATAATATTGAATAAAAAAATTAATAAAAATGTTTTGGTGGCTATTCAATTTGGAATTATATATGCTCTATATCGCTTACCAAAGTTATTTATAATGATATTGTAAAAGTTAATGGATGAGGGATTGAGGGGTGGTTGGAAGAGTCTAGATGTTTAGAAACTGTTTCTTCCTCATTCCTGCTTTTCTCATATTTTCCTAATTCTGTTGCTCATAATAGTAAATTAAGAAACCTTACAGTAGTTAGTTAATTGTTGGTACAAATATTAACTTATTTCTATTTAGGTTTTCATCTGATTAGACATATGGATCTTTTGCTGTTAAGTTTAATATTTTAACATGCTGCTAGACTTGCTAGTTGCTTCTTTATAGAATTTCACAACATTTGAATCAGTGTTGCGCCTTGCATGCTCAAATGATGGTTAGTCTATCCTTGAATTATAAAAATTACTTGAGAATTTCATTCTTTTTGACAGCATGTGCCGCCCCCCCCCCCCCTTTGGTGCCCCCCCCCCCCCCCCCCCCCCACTAGTTAGCGTATATTAGACAGATTTTCACACCGTTGTCTTTGAAGATTATATGTGTAATTTTTGACTAACCCATTCAGGTACCTGCCATTATCTACATTAGCAGCTTCATTGTATCAGTCATTCTCCAGGTTACTGATACGTTGTCAAACTTTATCTTTTGTTCTTCTTCTTTTTTTCCGAATGACAATGACATGTATGCCTACTTATAGGAGATCAGCTGGACCAGTTCACGACTTAAGGTCTCCTATACAAGTGGAGCCATTCTGTGGATATTGTCTGGCTCTGGAATCTTTGTTCTTCCAAGCAGTCTTCATAGCTCCATGTATATTTTCTCGGTTATCATTGGCATTGCTAATGCTTTAATGATGGTATAATGCTCTTCATACTATTTTTATCTCAGTAACTTGTTCATTATGCTTGAGCTATCAAACTAACTGATAGTGAACTTGGTATTTGATAGATCTTCTGAAGTGCAGAAAAAACTTAGGGACACTGTACTTTCTTCCAAAATTTTGGTTGCTTTGCTTGCTGATATTTTTTGCATCGTCAGTATAAAATTGGACAATCCCTCTTTTTTAAGAAAAAGGGAAATATAATTTATTAATATTTCACAAACAGGGTACCACAAGTTCCATAATGTTCTTATTTTGTTTTGGGCGTCTTAGTTGAATCCGAATAGAACTCATGCCGTGTGCTGTTTCATATGAAACCTATGCTTCTGAGATCAATTAGGCATAATGAGTCGCCTCTACTGCCTTTAAAACTGAAAATTTTCTACCCCAATCACTTTTTATATAAAACCAAGGATGCAAAAATAATTTTGATGCCTTGGTCACAGTTTAGACTATTTTATTATCTCTCTTATCCCAAAATTGATTGTTATAATTAATTTTATCATCACCTTGCAAGAGGCAACTAGCTTGATATTTTTATTGAACACAGGTTACAGGCATCAGCATGCAAAGCATGCTTATTGGGAAAGATCTTAATGGCTGTGGATTTGTTTGTGGTTCACTGAGTTTCATGGACAAACTGTCCTGCGGGCTTGCTTTGTATGCCCTTGAATCATACCAAGGTGGGTACTTTGTCAATAAATAATGAAAGTTTACTGCTTATTGTTTTTTAGTCATTTTCTAAAAATCATATATGCTTTCGATTTCAACAATCATGGTGATTTAAATGTGCTTATGTGCGTATACATGTTTGCATTGTATATCAATATATATGGGGAGGGGATGAACTTTTCTCCAGCACTGCTATATCCCACCCATTCAATTCTTGATGCTTTAACCTTCAAGCTTTCCTCATCTTCAACATCATTAACTAGATTTAATGCATTTTTTAAGATCATGGGATTATTTAATGAACATTTTCTTAGCTTTTTGATGGATGTTTTTGATCTCTTGATATGAAAATAATTGAGAAAAGGCACATACAATAAATTTGCGGAGAAATAAAGAAATGGGGGAAGAAAACGAGACAAGGGAGGTGAAGGAGGCCTTAATAACTAACAATAATTTTATTAAAACATTAAATCAGTCAAGTTCCACACTTCAAGAGTCATTATCCCTTGACTTTCCTGACGCTGCATTAACTATGAAGAAAAAGGATGAATTTTAAATACATATTGATGAATTATTTAAATTATTTGGAGCATGTCAAAGCCAAAATGGTACGCGCTTATAAATTAATATGGAAGAGAATTCTAGTGATCATATTTTTCTCGCATCATTTAATCTGGGTAGAAAGAAACTACTTTTCGAATAGTTGGATGATAACCATGATGGCGGTGGTGACAAAATAGGCTCATGCAAAGCTCTAAGAACATGTAGAAGTATGTAGGCTGGTGGTCGTGGACCCGTGGTTGATATCATCATGAATGATCAGTGTGATTTTTAGTGATAGAACAATCTATAAATGATTTCGGTAGTTCTAGAGTTGGACGCCAACACATAATGAATTAAATGAGCTAGAATCCCAGTAACTTCTTGACTGTGATATAGGCGGTGGTGTAATGTCATTATATGAATGATGAAGCCAAAGTAATATGGGTAATTGAGAAGCATCCCATAAACTAGTTTCAATCATTGGCGAGGAATCTAGATTTTACTAAATTATGTTATTGTATAAGAGCATTAATAGAAGGTGATTGAGTAGCATCCCATACAATGGTATCAGTCAATGGCGAGGAATTTAGATCTCAGTAAATTATGTTATTGTATAAGAGCATCACTAGTAGGTAGTTGAGTGGCATCCCATACAATAGTCTCAATCATTGTTGAGGAATCTACATCTTACTAAATTATATTATTGTATAAGAGCATCAAAACGACATTATAATGATGAAACGAATATCTATATTTGTGGAGATTGTGAAGCAGTAAAAGTGATTTAAGGATCCTTAAACTTGATTAAAATTTTGATATCTAGCGCAGTCTCTTGCATAAGTTCTTGCTCAAGCTTACCATCATTATCTGCTGCAGATGAAGAAGCTATGAAGTTATAAGAACATGATAGGGAAAGTTTCTCTATACATTTAAGAAAATAAATAAAGATGAAAATATAATCAAACAAATATTAAACAAGTGTAGTATTAATGGTCTATATTTCTCTAACAATGATGATAAATCAAATTCTAATTGACGGTATAAGATTGGGTAGGAGAGAGAGATCCCATCCTAATCATAGGAGCTCGTCATATAGATGTGAAATTTTCACTTTTCATATGAATTGTATTTTATATCATAGAGATTTTAAAATAAGAACCAACACCAATGATCTTGATATATCACTCCATGTATTTCTCTCTCTCTCTCTCTCTCTCTCTCTCTCTCTCTTTATATATACACTCACTCTCGTCCTCTTTCTTCCAACTCTCTCACCCTGTGTCTCTCTCTCTATCTTTCTCTCATCCTCTCTCTCAGTCACACACTCTATCTCTCCCTTATTCCCTATCTCGCTATCTCTCTGCCTTCTATCAAATAGATATTATACTTCATTTCTCTATATTCCTGTGTCTCTCGCTTTCTCTCTTTTTCTCCCACTTTCTCTTCCTCTCCCACTCTCTATCTCTCTCTCACTCTCTATTCCTCCCTCTCTATATCTCCCTCTCTCTGGATCTCTCCCTCCTTTCCTCTATTTCTTCGTCTCTAATCTCTCTCTTTTTCATTTACTCTCTCTTTCTCTCACACTCTCACACACACTCTCTCTTTCTCATTCTCCCCCTATCTTTGTTGCCTCTCTCTATCGCTTTATAATTAAAGGTTTTCGTTTGAGTAGATCTAAAATCAAATACATGGAGTGCAATTTTAATAGTAATAGATCTAGTTGTGAGATTGTGACATTGGGTGATCAAGTCTTAAAAAGAGTTCACGTTTTAGATGTCTTAAGTCTATTGTTCAAAACAATGATGAAATAGATGGAGATATTATTAGTGCAATTCAAGTTGGACTGTTGAAGTGGAGGAATGCATCCAAACCGTTGTGTGATAGAAAAGCACCCTTCAAACTTAAGGAAAATTTTTATGAGATGGTAGTGAAACTTGCAATGCTTTATGGCTCAGAATGTTAGTCATTAAAGAGAAGCATAAATTCATAAAATTAAGTTAAGTGTTGCAGAGATGAGGATGCTCAAGTGGATGAGTGACTTTACACTTAGAGACAATGTGAAACGAGTATATACGTGAAACAGTTGGAGTAGCTCCAAAGGCAGAGAAGTTTAGAGAGAGTCGCCTTAGATAGTTTGGTCACATAAAATGTCGGCCTTCCGATGACCCAGTTATAAGAGTAGATGTATTAGATCTGGCCCATATATTAAGAAAGATAAAGGTTGCCCTAAAAAGATTTGATTGAAAGTATTACTGATCTTTTTGCAATGATCATCGTCCTTATCTGACAACCGAAATCAATGTGTTAGTTTTTCGTGACTGACATCTTTATATGATTTCGACCTATCTAAATTGCTAATATTTAGTATGAAAGTACGTAGATTTCATTTCACTTTATCTAATGATAATTTTTTTCTTGTGGTATTATAGATTCGGACCAAATTATGAGATCCTCTGCAGAAAATGGAGGCTTCTCTGTTACTAGGTATGGGCTGGGGCTCATTCCTTCTTTCTGTGCATTAATATCAGCATTGGTTACTTGCTCCATGGAACTGGAAGAAACCCATTCGGAACAATTAACCGAACCTCTCCTTGTCTAAATCCTCGATCTGGATCTGTTCTCATTAATTGTGATTCGATCAGCTAACTCATTTTGATTTAACCCAGCAATCAGATTGGAATAGCATTTGAGAAAGATATTGAAAATTGGTGATTTTCTGACGGGATTTAGGCTTCGTTTGGGACAGCTTTCTTAAGCAGCTTTTTAGTACAAAAATTTTAATTTTTGTATTATAAAATGGCTTTATGAAGCAGTAAAAAAACCGTCTCAAACGAAGCCTTAGCTTGTTCTAAGGAACAGTATTTTTTCTCACCCTCTTTCTATAGCATTCTTATTTTCATCGTTTCATGTTATAAACATGTCATCTATGTGTTTGTAATTGTACAGATAACACTTTATTCTAGCTTTAGTCAAGTAGAATTTGATATAGGATGTCTGTGATTTAAACATATAGCCTTATTATTAAACGTAATGTACTTATAAAATATCATGAAAATTAACACAATTCTTTCAATATTTCTATTGTTTCTATTGGATTTTAATGTTAATAAAAATAAAATTAGTTCTTAATATGTTCTTTTCCTTATTTGCTCAAAATTTTCATTATATTTATTTCTCTAATACTATACGTATTTCTTGATGTACTTAAAACATTAAAAAAATTTTTAATTCCTTTAATTATATAAATAAACAATCATTAATCAGTCTTATATGAACAAGCATTGAGGTTCTAATAGAGTAATTAATCGAGAAATTTATTTGGAAAAAAAAAAAGGTTCTAATAGAGTATACTAGTAAGTTTTCCAGAAAACAATCAAAGATCTCATTCTTTATGTAGGGAATATCTGCTCTTGTAGATCTCAGCCCTCATCATCAACAACCCATCGAGTCTACTTTCGTTATTTCTTATTCTTCTAGTTTCATATTAAAATATGGATTATAATGTGGGGATTTACATACATGTCACTCAAAATATTAAGAAATTATATATTTCAAAATTTTCTCTTGTAATTGATCCTTGTAAGATTTTACACGAAGATAGTCATCGTTGGATCTGATTAAGAGAGAGAGAGTGGTAGGTGCTATTAGCCGAACTAAGCCATACCATAATACCAATAAAATCATGCCTGTAGCTGGTTATGGATCTAGGCAATTAACTCTATAAATAGCGGTGTAAACTAACTGTGTATGATATGAAATAAGATTTCCTTTTTTGTCTTTCTATCTTCCTTCTTGATTGCTCTGGGCGTCCTCTCCTCTGGGCGGAACTCTTCTACATGGTATCAGATACGGTCTGATAATCCCGGTACCATGGATGCTTCGGCCACCTCCCAACCCTCTGAATGCACAGACATGGTAAACTCGGATTTTACCGAAATCTCCTCCTCTCTCAAATTCGTTCTTGGTAATCTCAAGAACTTCATTCAATCGCCTCTGTCTACCGAAAACTACTCGGTATGGCGATCACAAATACTCAAGATAACTTGCACAAATGGCTTCGACATGTTTCTTGATCCATCGCTTCCGACTCCAGCACAAACCATCACGAAATCGGACGGAGACACCGTCCAGAACCCAGCCTACGCCAAATGACTTCTTACAGATCAAAACTTAGCCGCTGCGATATGCGCCACGATTTCTTCCTCTATTCTTCCGTATGTCCTCAATCTTAAATCCACGTCGTCTATCTGGACTACTCTTGCTACCCGATTTCAATCTACAAACCGTTCTCGTGTCATCCAACTGAAAAACGAACTACATCACATTTCGCTCAAGAACTATACCATGATTCAATATCTTACGGATATTAAATCCATCGTAGATCAAATCGCCGTTGCCGGGTCAACCGTTGACACCGAGGATGTCATTCTTTACATCCTCAACGGTCTCCCAAGTTCTTACCAATCTTTCAAGACCTCGATTTGCACCATGCTCACCCCCGCTCAATCTGGATCAACTATACCCATGACTGATCAGCGAAGAGATACACATTGTGTCCGATGCAGCCCACACTGCTCCCGCCGATGACCCCCAACACACACGACTCGTGGCAGAGGAAGGAGAACAAGTGGAAGATCATCACAGTCAGTCCCGACAAACAAAGATGCCTCCAACAAGATCTCCATCATGTGTCAGATCTGCTTGAAAAGAGGCCACACCGCGACGGACTGTTGGCATCGCCTGAATCTGCAGTACACACCCAAACCCAATAGCAACCAAAATAGAGCTCTTCTTGCCGGACAATCACCTGCATACACTTACTGGTTTCTTGATTCGAGAGCTTCATCCCACATGATGAATTCTTTAGACAACCTGTCCATCTCAGCTCCTTATCGTGGCAATGACAACATCACCATTGGTGACGGGAGTTCGGTTAGCATAGAAAATTCAGGAAAGGGATTGCTACCGACTCCCTCTCGTAAGATTCTTCTATCTCACATACTGCATTCTCCCTCTCTAAAATACAACTTATTATCCATTTCCAAATTAACTCGTGACAACAATTTGGCAATAATATTTGATCCTAACGGTTTTTCCTTTAAGGATCACGACTCATCAAACTATTCAAGGCCCTTGCACTGAAGGCCTCTACAACATTCGGACTCCACCAGCCACTGCAACCAAGCTAGCATTACATACGAAGGCTCTCACCTCATCCCCATGGCATGACCGTCTGGGACATCCCAACCAGTGGACACTTGCTCGCATTGCTTCTTGCAATCCATAGCTTAAAATAGATTGTCATTTTGTTTATTGCAAATGGTGTAATACTGCTAAAAATCACAAACTATCTTTTAATACGACTCACTATAAGAAAAATGCTCCACTGGATTTGATTCATTCTGATGTGTGGGGGCCTGTTCCCACAGCTTCACACACCTGTTATTTGTAGTGCGTGATTTTTGTAAATGATTACACGCGTTTTACGTGATTGTTTCCTATGAGACATAAATCGGAAGTCTATAATATTATCACCTTGTTTAAAGCTAAAGCTGAAACCTCTACATCTCGTAAAATAAAATGTCTCCGCATTGATGGCGGCAGAGAATACATGAATGCATCGCTAGCAACCTTTCTTCAGAGTCACGACATAACACATCAAAGCTCTTGCCCTCACACACCGGAGCAAAATGGAGTGGCGGAGAGGAAACATCGTCATATTATTGAAACTACTCGCACCATCCTCCACCGGGCAGCCATTCCCTACACTTTCTAGACAGATGCTGTTCTCACCTTGGTCTATTTGATCAACCGCCTACCATCTCCCAACACAGATAACAAGTCTCCCTTCGTACTTCTTCACAGTACCAAACCAAACTACGATCTCCTACGCGCATTTGGATGTGAGTGCTTCCCGCTCATACCAGCAAGCTCTCGTAACAAACTTCAACCGACTACAACTAGCTGTGTCTTTCTCGGCTACTCAGATGTTTACAAGGGCTACAAGTGCTTCAACCCCCAAACCAACAAAATAGTCATGTCTCATCACGTAAATTTTAACGAGGCTTCTTATCCTTTTAATTCTAAAACTCAAACTACTACGCAGATGGATTCAGTGCCGCCTGGTCTACTTACTCCTATCTCGGTCTAGGCACCCTCAAAGCCAATGCAGCAACTCACCGAACATGGTACAAGCCAGGCTAGCAATCAGGAAAATTCTCAGCCCTGCTTACCGCAACCCACGTCTACGTCCACAACTGTCCCCACTCAAGTCCAGGAGTCAGCCATTCCGCATGGTTCCAAACACCCGATGGTCACACAGCAGCGCACGGGGTCTCTACGACCTCGCACTCATCTTGACCTGCTTCATCTCGAGTCTTCACCAGACATGATACCATATCCTACGTCCTACACAGAGGCCAGCAAATACTCGGCGTGGCGCAACGCAATGGCCTCGGAATTCTTCGCACTTCAAAAGCAAGGTACCTGGAGCTTGGTCCCCCAGCCCCCCAACTCGTCCGTGCTAGGCTGCAAATGGACGTACAAAACCAAAACTCATGCAGACGACTCAATTGCTAAACATAAAGCGCATCTAGTTACTTAAGGGAATAATCAAGAATACGGACTTGACTATGCAGAGAAGTTCACCCCTGTCGCAAAACTTCCCACTATCCGAATCCTCCTGGCCATTGCACTGCACAACAATTGGAAAGTACAACAATTAGATGTGGCGAACGCATTTCTACACAGGACACTGGATGAGACCGTTTATATGCGACAGCCACGAGGATTTGAGGACGCCACCATTCCTGACTACGTCTGTCATCTTCACAAAGCAATATATGGTCTCAAACAGGCTCCGCGCCAATGGTATAATATGTTCACATCGACCCTTGTCTCCATGGGATTCAAACACAGCTCCTCCGATCCGTCCCTCCTAATCCTGCAAATGCAGCAAATTCAAGTATATATGCTCATCTATGTGGACGACGTTCTGCTGACTGGCAATGACACCGCAGTCATCGATCAAATTCTTTAGAAACTGAATACCAAGTTTTCCATGAAACACTTGGGGGAAGCACATACTTTTCTCGGTATCACCATAGATAGGTCTGACATTCATTTTTTTCTTTCGCAACAATCCTATGCCATATCCATCTTGAAGTCTGTCCAGCTCACGAACTGCAATAAACTATCCAACCCAACATGCACTAAGCTTCCACCATATCCACCAACAGATAGCTTACTATCCGACGCAACCACATACCGCAGAATCACTGGTTCTCTCCAATATTTAACACTCACATGTCCCGACATCGCGTACATCGTCAACCAACTATCTCAACACATGCATCAACCGGAAACCCAACATATCTATCTCCTCAAAAGTCTTCTTCATTATATCCAACGTATGTCAGACTATGGCATACCAATCATCAAATTTGATCTCTGTCTTACTTCTTTTTCAGATGCCGACTGGGCAGCGACCCGATCTCCAAGAAATCAACCTCCGGATATTGTTCGTTTCTTGGTCACTCTCTCATTTCCTGGACGGTCAAGAAACAACACACCGTGGCTCGATCGTCAACTAAATCCGAATACCGAGCACTTGCCGCTCTTGTCGCATACGTGATCTGGCTCAGACGGATTCTTTCTGATTTCGACATTCCCCAAGCTCTACCCACGGACGTCTACTGCGATAACATCTCGGCCATTGCTCTAGCAAATAACCCGGTGTTTCATGCCCTGACAAAGCACATAGAAATCGATCACCGATTTCTCCGCGACCACATCGAGCAAAAGACGATCCGACTTCTTCCCATCAGTACCATAGACCAAATTGCATATATCTTTACCAAAGCTCTCACAACATCAAGATTTCATCAACTCAGAGACAGACTGAGAGTCACTCCTCAACTCATCAGTTTGCCGGGGGATATTAGCGGAACTAAGCCATACCATAATACCGATAAAACCATGCCTGTAGCAGTTTATGTATCTAGGGAATTAACTCTATAAATAGCGGTGTAAACTAACTGTGTATGATATGAAATAAGATTTCGTTTTCTGTCTTTCTATCTTCCTTCTTGATTGCTCTGGCCGTCCTCTCCTATGGGCGGAACTCTTCTACAGGTGCTGTATTAATTATTTTGTGCAAGCATCGAATGGAGAGAACCGTCCGGATTATTGTGCTTTTATTGCCCTTGTTGCGCTTTTATAAAAGGCTAGTAAAAATGTAGCAAATATTTAATATTTATTAAATAATTGAATATTTGGTGCATTTTTGTATAAGGGCAGCAAAAGTGTAATAAAAATGCATTCATAATTTAATATTTGATGATCTTTTACTATTCTTTTGTAAAAGCGCAGCAAAAGACAACAAAAATGTAATAAATCCAAACGGTTCTCTCCGTTCGGTATCGGTATAAAATAATTTCTCCAGGTGACTCGGCACATGTCATCCTTCTTCTAGTATTGCAAGAGTATGCACGCTTACAGTGGGATTCCATGATCCGCTGTGCCCTTCGGTATTGAGAGTTCCACTAACAGTGTTAAAGAAGTGCTATAATATGTAAATAGTAAAGTTTATGTGTAAAAATAGGTAATTGATGATGTTTTGAGTTCTATGCATATAAGCATCCTTTAAAAAAAAAATAATCCATTTGATTTGTTTCATTTGGAATTGAAATTAATAAATAAAATGATAAATTCTCTTTACTATTTCTCTTTGTATTTGATTCATCGTTCCCTAATAATAAAACCTATACACAATGTGTTTAATTATATTTGGGGCAATTTTTATAGACCATAGTATTTTAAAACTTTTAGAATGGACAATTGCCTTAAAATCCTTGTAATAAAGGGTTCCGCCATTAGCTGCAAATAAGATTTAACTCAAGTACAATTTAGTAAATTCAATAATATTAATTTATAATATTTTAAATTTAATTAGATTAAATAAATTAAATTTATCATAATATAATATTATAATAAAAATTAATTAATTATTTATCCAATTGATTAAATATAATATCACCGACCACGACGACAGAATAAAATGCTAAGAGGCGTTCCTCACACACACCTTCACCTTTCTCTTTCAGAACCCTACATGGGGTCCCCGTTGGATACTCATTGGGTACCCATGCTTTGCGCTAGTGGGCTTTGCCCACTCATTGCAGGCTCTCCTCACACACTCCCGCATTACTCAAGCCCATGTATGGTGACTTTCAGGATGTCATGCCCACCCACTTTCTACACTTCTTGAATGCAGTTTGTCACGAATTAATGACCTTGAGATTTGTTGTCATTTTCTCTTTCTGCAAACTTTCAAGTCACATCAAAATTTATCGTGGACGCGACACGGTTTAGTACTCCTAACTGTGTAATATTACTTCATGCATATGATGATTAATATTGTAAATTTGTTTGTCCTCTAATGTTGAGTACTCCCTCATATCCATCCACGATGTCATGGGAGTATCCATACCTATCCATGCCCATTCAGGCGAATTATTGCGTCCGGTCACCGGATGTCCGGACATCCAATCAAGTGATGCCACGTCACTCAAATATACTAGATCCCGGTGTATTTAGGTGATATGGCGACACCGGTTTCATCCGGACACCGGACATAATAATTTGCCCATTAAATATGAGTGGGATACATAGGTGGATGTGAGTATAGGCATCCAATGCAGGCTCTGTTCTCTTCCCCTTCCGCGTCTGCCCGAACCCCTCGCCGAAAAAGAATCAGAATTTTAACAACGTAAAATCGCTGAACTATCGAATTTATGGTAAAGAAATCCTGGATTTGGCTTGCTTCCTGAATAAATCCTGCTACCACATAACCCCCGCCCAAACAATGGAAGAAGACGACGACGACCAGTATAAACAGCAAGTGCTTGCTTGCGCATTTGGTGAATCATCGGATAGCAGCGACGATGCCCTTTACCCTGCGGTTCGTACCCCTCACTCGCCCTGCTTCTCTTTCTCTCTCTCTCTATTCGCTCTCATGTCTGTTCGATTGCGTCAATTGGAAGGTGAAAGAAGGCGAGATTTACAGCTGGGAATCTGTGGAAGGCATTGATGGCTTATGGCTGTGCCGTGACTTCCTTCCTGAAAAACATCAAAATCTTCTTTTATCAGCGATTCATGGAGGTATAGCTGTATGTCAATTTTGCTACGCAGAGGGGAAAATCCATCGTCTAAACTTTGCCAAATGCTATCTTTTTTTTTATGTTATTGTAGAGAATGATCTGTTTCATGGATGCTGTATAAAAAAGATCTCCTTTGCAGGTTTTGATTCTGCTATGTGCAGAAGTTTTTCCAAAATATCATTTTAATGTCAGTGTATTAGAACAATAATACTATATTATTCTATTGCTCTAATACAGTGAAGCTGTCTCTTTGACAGGGATTAGCTTGTGAAGAAGCAAGCTTGTTACCCAATCTCCAAAACCTACCCTATAGTGCTTCCAGCTCTTTCTATCCAATCACTTCCCATTCCGGTAATCGATTCTTCTAACCAATTGGCTCCTGCACTAGATCTTACCCTAAAAGAATGGGTTTCTTAGCAAGCATAATGGGGATACCGTGTCCTAAGATTTGTGGAGATTGGACTACTCCCCATTGGCCTAACACAGGTGGAAAGGGACCGCTTTCCCTTGGTGGAAGTTCGGAAAATTTTGCAGGTCTGCACCTCTATTGTAGTGCCCCATAAGTCTCAATGGGATAATGCGGGAAAGAGGAAGGGGAGGCTTCAGACAAAACCTTTTAATACTGTTGTAGAAAATATATTTGTCACGTATTTGTAGTTGATTCAGGATTTTATGGCACTCTGTAGAGCATTTGTCACTTATTCTTGTATAGTTGAATAATTCTCCTTTACAATTTACATTAAAGCTCCATTCTAGTTGTCGACCAGAAATTATTCTGTACGGAGTCCAGAAGTTGCTCGGAGTTTAGAAGTAGTCCAATAAAGATGAATATTGGTTTGGACGAGGAAAAATTGATGAAGATGAAGTCTGGTTTGAAGGAAAAGCCGATAAAGAAATGAGGAATGGTAGTTTTTTTCTGTACACTTAGGTCGAATCCTGCCAGGGGACTTTGTCTCCTTGGACCCATGCCAGGGGGCGTTGCCCCGTCGGACCCCCGACATATTATCTAAGTGTACAGAAAAAACTATCATTCCTCCTTTCTTCATCTACTTTTCCTTCAAATCAGTCTTCATCTTCATCGGATTTTCCTCCAAACCAATCTTCATCGGCTTTTCCTTCTCCGAACCAGTATTCATCTTTATTGAATTTTCCTTGTTTTCCTCTTTCTCAACAACCATGAAAAGTTTATTGAGCTAAAATCCTAAAAAATACGAAACTTTCGATGTATTTCATTAAAAAAAGAGCACCAATCCTAAATCCTAATATTTAAACAAGCAATTTCTAGGCCGGGTCGGTCGGGCTGGCAAGAAAAAAACTGAATGCAAAATAAGAATAAAGATCCACATGTACAATCTAGGTGTCGTGATTTTATTGGAGTCCGGACAAATAGCTACGTCCGGACTCCGAACAAAATAATTTCTCCGACCAATGCATAAGTATATCTACAACTGAATAACCAATTTGTTTTTCGTTTCATACGTATTTTTGTATGAGCTTTGCATATATGATTTCTTTGTTGATGTGCCATGGTAAAATTATCTTAACTTTTCACATGAAATCTTCATTTTGATTGAGTAGTTTCCATATGCTTCTGTTTTTTTGTTAAATCATGTAGGCTTATTTCCTCAAGTTTTACTTCAATTTTTTTTTTTTAATTCCTGTTGGCGATATTGTGTGCAACTACTCGGACCTTTCTATTTTTAAGTAGACGCTACATTATAAAGTTATGCTAAAAAATTGAGAAATTGTTTCTTAGAGTTTTCCTTTATATTGGTGGAAGATAGAAGTTTATGTAAGCTATGCTCCTGTAGAATGGAACATTTCTATAACAATTTAATGATTTTTTTTGGCTCCGGTGAGTGCAACGGGAAAAGTAGAAAATATGAGAATAGTAAATCCAGTCAGTATGTTTAGATTTCCTTAACCAAATGATGTTTTCCGCTCTAACTATGTTTTTTATTTGCAGAAGGATTGTTCACTGAGAGTTCTTATAATCAGGTGTTTTATTTTCTCCATTTTCTTTTTGAACTTTTTAGAAATGAAATAGAAATCTTTATCACTTATATAATACTTTTTTCTATTTCCATCTAAATACTATGTGAATTGTCACAAACATTTATTCCTTTTTTTTTCACTAGTTTTTATTCAAATCACAGAATTTATTTGTTTGACATAAACATATTGGATAAAATTTTTCTTGGTGTGATCAATTGACCTAGGACAATGAGATGACCAAAGGAGTCTAACATACAAAGATATTAGGAACTGATAGTTGAGATATGCTTTGGTACTTCATTGAGGGGTGAGCCTCAGACAAGTGGATTTTGATATTGATTTATAAATTAGCTATAAGTAAGATTTATTGGCTACAAGTTATGTCTGGTGATGCTTAGATTGTTTAAGTGGAAAAGCAAGGCCTGCATCCAAATATGCTAATGGCCTGGCTCAATCAAGTTCAATCTTCCTTGAGATGAGGAATATACGGTCGTCGAAGGCCAAGGCATACTCACCAAGGATTAAGGACCACTTGTCAATGGCTACTCGACACTTGTTACTCGCCACCCATCATTTGGCGGGCCCACTCACCACTTGTCACCAGCGCTCCTACTCTCCACTTGTCACTTGTCTCTCGGTCAACTCATCACTTGTGATTGTCCATATATCAATTGTTCATGTATGTTTTTATATTTTCTTAGCTATATACTTTTTGGCCTACACTCTTTATGTAAATGAATATATTTTTTAAATAGCTTTTTATGTAACCCCATAATACTATAAATAATTGATCATCAGGCAATTTCAAAGGAGGAGGAAGTCTTTTGGAACACATAGATTTAATTATACGATTCTTATAATTTCTCTCTTTTCACTCTGTCATTTTTTGTTCTCTTTTTCTCTTCATCTGCTATTATGATGTTAGCCTTGTAACTCTTGGAAGTAAGATTTGAGTATCATTCATGAACAAATTTGAGTTCAACATCCTCGAATGTGTGGTGAGTGTGGACTGATGCTCAGGATCAAAAACCAAGAGCTACAAGAAGTAGAGCACCAGATCAGAGGAGTTGCAAATACTCAAGGAACACTCCCTTAGAATTTAGCAAGGACTTATCAAGTCCACTCATTAAGCCTACTTGTCAGGCCTAACAACATCCTCCATAGTCAACTGATTTCAACTTGTCCAAAAATTAAACTTGGCAAGGGAGAGTTCAACTTGTCCAAAAATTAAAATTGTAAAGGGGGAGTTCAACTTGTCCAAAAATTGAACTCGTCAAGGGAGTGTTCAACTTACCTAAGAACTAAATACATCAATGAGAGAGTTCAACAATTCATTAGAATAAAATACAAAAATGCGGTGAACTTGTTCTTCTCTTACAAAATATTTTCTTATATATATAAAAGGATGAAGTATGAGAAAAAAATTAAAACAAGTTGAGTGTAGAAACTCAATAATTAACTTTTTGACTAACTTCATTAGAGAGATGACATATTGATGACTTGGGGAAACTTATTTACTAAAAGGAGAGTTCTTGGCTAATCATAGAAAAGGTAGATTGACTTGAGTTTAAGACTATTCCCTATAGACAAACTAAAGACCCCCAGGCACAAGACCTGCCGGAGATCCGAAGCCTCCCGAAGAAGGAAAGTTTATGCTCAACAAAATCTCTCTCTTTTTTTTTAAACTTGAGTTTTCCTTCTAAGGGGAGGATATTTCCAATAAACTTAGAAGTTAATAATTTCAAATCATTCAAAAGAAAGGTCTTGTTTGTAAGCCACTCTCCAAAGATATAGGAGAATCAAAGAATTAAATGTATATCTGAATATGCTATTGGCTTAGATCGATTAAGCTCAATTTGACTTAAGACTAGGAAAGTTGAAGGTGCCCTTGTTGAAGGCCAAAGTGCACTCGCCAAGGATCAAGGATCACTCTTCAAAGTCTACCTACCAATTGTCACTCGGCGGGGCTATACGCCAATTACCATCCCTCACTGATGTGCCTACTCAGCACGTAATGCTTGCCACTAGTCATTTGGCAAGTCTACTTGTCACTTGTGATTGTCCACATGTCAATTGACCATATATTATTTATATTTTCTTAGCTACATACTTTTGGGCTACACATCTTTTGTAGATGAATTTGTTTCTTTATATAGCTTTTTCTAGAGCCCCATAATCCTATAAATAAGGGGTTATTGGGAAATTTTGAGGAAATCATTAGGGAGTACTTGATTCAGGAATACAATTATTAGAATCTCTCTTTTCCACTTTGATACTTTTTCTCTTTTTCTTTCTATCTACTATTATCATATGAGCCTTGCAAGTCTTGGATGTTAGGTTCGCATGTCTATGGACAAATTTGACTCCAACAGCAGGAACTTGGGTAGGCTTGGAATCTGAATCCGCTTAGCTTTTGTGGTGTGAGCTTCATTTATATATTTGTTATGAAAAAATGTGAATAAATGTCAAAAATGAAGATTATATACCGAGACTACTACTAATATTATTATTGGAGAAGTATAGAGATCAATAAAATGATCTTTCTTATTGGAATACTAACATTAACATCCCCCTCAAATAACCAAAATCCACATTCATCCTACCCCTGTCTCACCTATTTATTACTCTCTTTTTTATTCCTTTTTTATTTTCGTTCTTCTTAGTATGTCATACCAATAATTTATTTATCTTTATTAAATCTTCTTGTGTGGACCATGCTGTTAGAATATCGACATCTAGATATTAAGTTTAACTTTCTCTTCTTTAAAATGACAAAAAGTGTTTTTATTTAAAGAAAACTTTAAATTTACCATTTGTTTTGCATCTTCTAATATGATATTTCTCTAATGTGTGTTTCATATTTGTAGGCCATGAAGTTTGGAGATCTTCCTAATTGGGCTATTGACCTTTCTAGATTGATTCAGAAGGCAGTATGCTATGGTGAGACTATTTCTCTTGATGGCCTGGAATCGGATTGTAAAGAACAACAAATGGAAGAATCTGGACCACTACCGTTCGATTTATTGTGGAGAGAACCACTTTTTGATCAGCTAATTACAAATGTGTACAAACCAGGCGAGGTGTGAGCATTTCTGTTTTATCTACTAATTATATTAATGTATTCATGCAAAACTTGATAGCAGTAATTTGTATTTTAGCAAAGTAGCTTGGTAATTTTTTGCATTACTTTGCTTGCTAAAATTTTGCATTAAACATAATGATTATTATTTTTTATCTAAATGGTGTGTATTATTTGCTTGATATTTGTTTGTGCCAAACAATAGCTTTCATCTTTCTTACCTATATGTAGTGTTATTTGGCCATTATTTTTTATTTTTTATTTTGCTTATTTTCTTTCTTTTTGTATTAGGACAAATCATCAATTTATGTAATAGTATTTTTATTAGCTTTTAAGACTTTCTAAAGTTGTCTAGGTTTGAAAAGGGCCTAGGAACATGATATTATTTTGTACTTTTTTATTCATTGAATAAAAAAATATTTTTGCATGTGCAAAGTTCATTTGAAAAAGCTTGGAGTCTGATCCCCTAGGTTTTTGTGAGTCCTTTGTTTCATGACACAAGTTTCATCTCCAATATGCCTCGAGCCTAACTCTCTTCAACCTTAAACACATTCAATCTCTTGAATCTCTTGAAGATTCTTCTAAATATTAACCTTCCAAGTCCTCAACCCTTCAATAGCCCTAAGATACACTAGCCAAAAACCGCAACATATGAAGACAATTGTTTTTTCCATGAGCAATAGGATTAGAAGTATTATAACTCATTAACCATTGATTTAAAATTCATAAAAACGTCACAATTAGTTTTCTAACTTCTCAAATCATTGATTTGGAGATCCTTCTTATTTTTCTTCAAGGTAAACTTGCACTTTAATAGCCTAAAAGTTTCAATATCAAATATGTCAAAACCTTGAATACCGATTCACCACTATCTAAATTGCACTTCTACTAGCATCTAAGCTGACAACAATCAAGTTGCTTCTTTCACTTCAAAGATCTTTTGATGTTGTAGGGCAGGGTGTTTGGTGGTAGTGGATGTAAGTTCAAATGGTTGTTACTTACTCGAGTGAGGAGAATAATAAGATGTGAATAAGCAGAAAAGGAAATAATTAGGCTTTGAACTTATGTTCTCTAGATGAAGGGGGTGACTAGGATAAGTGATATGTGAAAAGAGATGCTTTGCACGTTTGCTTCCAGGATGTCATGCCCGCGCCTCTTGTGACTGTAATGATTGGTTTTGGCTCTACTGGACGGTTGTGTTGCGTGAGCTTCCATATGCCTCCAAGCAAGTGAGGTTTTAGGGAGGATGGTCGTTCATCCCTTTCTGTTACAACAACTTTCTCGAACAAGTATTTTTTTTTCTTTCGTGGGCCAAGGGGAAGTGTTCGTGGAAAGCTGAATTAAATAAAACATAATCTAAGAACCATTAGTATTTTAATTTTAGGATTGTTTTTCTAGTTCAAAATGTGCTATAATAATGATTTGTCTATTTGTCATGGATGGAAGAAGGAACTTTTGGTATTTATTAAAATTTGTTATTGTATTTATTTTCTTTTTTTGAATTAGCTCTAATCGGTGTAAAAAAAACATTTGTTTTAATGTTTTTTTAACTTATGGATAAGGCGAAAGAAAATTATGAGGTATGGTTGTTATTTATGAAAGTAGATTATTAGGATTGTAAATGAGTCAAGCCGAGTTAAATACTATCCAATTAAATCTAATTTATTTTTGGTATTTAGTTCAAGTTAACTTTAACATTTCGAGTTTTTAAATATTGTTCAAGCTTGTTTTTTAATTTTATTATCAAATTCGGGATATAGTCCAACTTTAGTCAAGCCTAATTATATGTGGGATGCCTATTATGTAAACATATAGCCTTATTACTAAACATAATGTATTCATAAATTTTAAAAAAATTGAAATAGTTTATTCAATATTTTTAAGGTTTTTATGGGATATAAAGGTTAAAAAAAATAAAATGAGATTTTTAATCTATTCGTTTAGCTATTCACTCAAAATTTTAATCATACTTATACCTCTTATATATTTCTTGAAGTACATAGAACATAAAAAAAACTAATATAAGAACATAGAATAAGCAATTAAATTAAAAAACAAATCATCATTAAATGAGCATTTTATTAAGCTTTTAACAAGCTACTTGTTGAATAATAAAAGATTATGTTTACAAGCAAAATTTAATGACTCAAAGTTACATGTCAAATTTATTAGTTTTAAATTCTTCAATTAATTAAATAAACAAACATTATTAAGTTTTAAATGAGCAAGCATTGAGTTTTTTATTTAGTATACTAGTTTGTTTTACATCCCTAATTAAGATTTGAAGAAATCGATCACTTGGATTGGCAGTTTAAATACAACCAAATTAATGAATTAAGGTTCATGTATTGCATTGTCTGCTCATAGCAATGTATTTTTATCATTCAGTTGGCAATGTGCATTTCTATGAAAGTGTCTTTCCAATAAACTAGCAGGACAATAGTTATGAGGTTATTATGCAAAGGTGCTCTGTACTATCTTTTATTACGAGAAATAATTCTGTGCGGAGTCCGGATGAGAAGAACCGTCCGGATTTGCTGCGTATTTGTAAATACTCAATTTGGATTATTTGCTGAGTATTTACTGAGTATTTGCTGAGTATTTACAAATACTCAACAATTCAGATGGTTTTTTCCGTCCGGACTCCACACAGAATAATTTTCCCTCTTAGAGAGGTTTCTTTGAATGTATTTCATTGTGGAAGTGTTGTTTTCCATTTATGCATAGGATTTTTTTTGTGTTTTTTCGACCTGTGAATCTAGGCATGTAAAATTTATTGTTATAAACATCATCTCTACACCATTTGTGAGTGCAAACCAGTCTAATTTTTAAGGATCTTGGAAGTTATTATCAAAATCCTCAGATTGAATTCTGCCTATATCAAATTTATGTTTTGACACTCACCTTTCCTCCTATCCAAAAATTTAAAAAATAAACTCTAAAATCATTGTGCTACCCTGCTAAAATTATATATTAGTTTCCTTCAACATGTTCTAATAATAAATGCTGTGATGGTTTACTTTTTTTTTTTATTAGAACATTTATGTCAATTAGGGCAGACTCACACACACATCATATACACAAGACTCAAACCCAAGACCTCTTAGTTGATAGCCTAAGCTCCCAACCAACAGAGCAAGATGAGCTGTGTGTGATGATTTACTTATGTTTGCAATTTGTATTTTCTTTTACTTGAATTTTAGTCTCCATTTGTATCTTTTTTATTTTATTTATCAATTTTGTGCTTCTGTACCCTACATTTTCATGAAATTTTTACTTGCAAGTTGTGCACTCGGAAACATTAAAAAAATCTGAGAAATCCCATTTCTTTTGTAGGGAATATCAGCTCATGTCGATTTATTGCGATTTGAGGATGGAATTGCTATCGTTTCATTGGAATCAGAGTGTGTGATGCATTTCTCTAGAGCTGATCAAGAGACTTGTTCACATAAGGCTCAAGGAGGACAAGATGGTTCTCTAGTTAAGATTCCCGTTCTACTAAATCCTGGCTCACTCTTGTTGATATTCGGGGAAGCTCGTTATTCATGGAAGCATGAGATCAATCGGAAAGAAGGATTTCAGACATGGAAGGGAAGGGAAATTATTCAGAAGAAAAGAACCTCTGTGACTTTGAGAAAGCTCTGTCACTCAGCTGAGGATATCTAATTTATTGAATTCTAATATTGTTTCATCTAAAGAGTGGTGTTTGCCTTCTTTTAATCTATTGTTTCATCTAAAGCAACAAATAAAAGATTGAGGCGGCTTTTTTATTGCTTCTTAAAGTAATTTTTTAATATTAAAATTTTAATTTTTGAATTAGAAAATCGCTTTAAGAAGCAGTAAGAAAACCGTTCCGAACAAAACATGAAACTGTCAATTTTAGATTGTTTCATATGGTGTTTTGGACATTAGCAGTCAAGAATAAAATAAATACATAGTTTTAAAATTTGTAAGTTGTAAATACTGCAGCAATAGGAAAAGAAGTCTGGCAACTTAACGAAGTGTTGAGCAATGCAAGGACTCCAGCAATATTAATGGTCTTTGAGAAAGATTCGTTAAGTAGTCCAAGAATCAACTATGTTGCACCTGCAGGTGTCCTGTAGGATCAACTATTCAGCAATATTAATGGCCTAAGATCAGCTATGAATAATTAGGGTTGCTAAATCGTGTCCATGGGTCGGGTTTGGGTCCAACTCACTTTGACCCTGCTAGTTTTGACTTGACTTGAATCTGACCTGGTTTTGGATTTTGGGTCACTCTTACTAACTCGAGCCTGCCCAAATTTGGGTTCGAGTCAACCTGATTCGACTCGGAGTATTATACATTAATTAAATTAATATTGTAACAACATCATTTGGCAAGTGTCAAGAGGTAAATTTTATTTAAACTTTAAAATTTTTACACATAAAATATTACAATTAAATTCAAATTACAACTTACAAGCTTAAATTACAAACCAAATAATCTAAAATTAGAAACTCAAATAGTCAAATTACAACTTACAAGCTCAAATTACAACCTTACAAGCCCAAACTCATACTCTTCAAGTTGAATTAAATGCAAAAGGAAGATTGTTAAACACTTAAAAAGTCTTAATCATATAGAATTCTAAATCATAATTCATGAGACAATACAACTAGAAAGCCTTAATGAAAAACTCGAGTAAATCATCCAACTCATTAATAAAAAGTGAGTAAATATTGAATATTTGATATTTCTAATTATCTATTACCATCCATGGTGGTAGTTTGCACTTTGCATTAAGCTTAATACAATATTTGCTCTTGATCAAAACTAACACAAATGCCGCTTTTGATCTCATTTTTTTATTGCAATTTCTTTTCGAGCGTGTTCGATTGACTTAATTGAGCCTTGTCGGGCCCAATTTGAGTTCAAGACGACTCAAGTTGAGTCACAAAATTCCATTAAGCTCGACTGAGATTGAGTTTCGTCGAACCTAATTTGAGTCAAATATTCAATATTTACTCACAATTAATTTCAACAAATTAATACGATAGAACACAATTGAGCCCAAATCGGTATAGATTGATTCAAATTGGGTCTGGTTTAAGCTTAATTTTTTCCCTAATTGACTCAAATTGGGTCTGCATATTTGCTTCAGAAGAATCGGACATGTAAAGGTATTCGGCTATCCTCTCGGTCACTTCCGTTTTGCACGAGAGAAGTCTGAAGAACCCTACGTTGTCGCCTTCTTTCTTTCTGCTCGTGCGAATCACCCAGGCGGAAGCCTCCTCTCCCCCTTTCCGTTCGCCTCTCTCACCCGAAGGTTCGTCGACCTCCAGCCCTAGCCGCGCCCGCCGCCGCGCGCCGAAGCCGAGCCCTCGCTCTTCTTTGCTCGCAAGGTGAAATTCCTGCACCTTTCCCCTTCTTCTTCTTCTTCCCACTCTTCCTCTTCCTTCTCTCTTTCCTCTTTCTTCCTTCATTCTCTTCTTCTTCTTCCTCGTTTCTTCCTCCTCTTATCTCTTCATCACCCACTTCTTCTATCATCTATGAACTATATCTATGCAATGTTTTCCATACTTTTTTGAACCTTGAAAAATTTTGAACATGTTTGATATTATGAAGTGTAAAGATTATGTCACATCATTCTACTTGCTTCATAAGTTTATTGCATATATAGATACCAATGTTAGACGACACTCTTATTGTTAAAAAAAATAATTGTGTGATTGTGTCGCCCATGATGGTAGATCAAACTTAGTGTGAAGTTTAGATCTTTCACAAATGACGTCCCAAAAATCATTCTACATATACTTGCATCTTGAATATGAATGAATAAAACATGATTAGTAGAGTTTTGTCCTTAATGTTATAGCTAGTTTGGAGGAATGCAATGGATATCGATTGAAACACCCATGGCATAAGATTTATTGGAACCTTTATTAAACTTAGTTAAAATCAGCTATGAGATGACATTGTGTTATTATAAGTGGAAGTTTGTCCATCTCAAGTTTTGGTTGCATGCACTCAACAATTGAAATTTTGTTAGGATATGATGAACGATAAAATATTGTTGAATTTTTTTAGACATTGCAAGTGGGCATACATATGAAGCATGCTTGAATTAATTTGTAGCGTTGGACCATGTTGCAAAGTTATTTTCTCTTGGAGTATGGTCTTGATTTTGCTCAATGCATGTATAGACTTCCATGTGTCATGTATACACCAAATTGCTAAGAGTCCCCTTAATAGATATGTGCATTGTGTTCTAAAGTCATCAAATTTGCTAATTTCCCTTAAAATCATGTCAAAAATCAGACACAGAGAACTCAACATTTGCAAATAAAATTCAGCACTTGCCAAAAAAAAATTTTAACATCAGATATTTAAAAACAAATTATGACTCGTGTAGTCATGTTTTGATGTTCCCAACAGCAGACTTGTTTGATAATGCTCATTGACTCATTGTTAAGCAGGTGTAATGACTGATAAAAGCATCTAAGCATACTGTAGATATAAATATATAATGAACTGCTGTAGTAGTTTTATTGCTTCTGCATAAGAAAATAATAGAAACAGTACAAGTTGCGACAAGCCTGCAGCTGTTAGCTAGCCATCAAATATTCAAATTACAGTTCTTATATATGTCTTTACTAAATCCATTAATTATCTAATAACATCATATTCCCCAACTTCTCCTTGAACTTGTTCTACCATCAAATTTAGGATATTTTTCGTCACAGCTTCAAGTTAAGGTTCATGTAGCACTGCAACAAATAGAAATATAAACATTAAAGACTTTTCTTGTAGAAGATATTAATTTAAGTAAGGTTTGAATGATATTGCACCATGATCTCCATACAACCAATCTTTTATACAAACCAAAGCCTCAACAATATCATGTTTCAGTGCAATTTGATACTGATCTAGAATTCTACCACTGTTATTGAAGGAACTCTCGAAGGCTGCTGTTGTTATTTTAACACACAACACGTCACGAGTCATTGCAAAAACCTCAACGAACCTATACTGATTGCTTTTCCATAAATGTAATATATCTAGCTCATCCTTTATCAAAATAACACTATGAAACACAACTTTCTAAATATCAAATTATCAAAATAACAACATGTATTACTTCCTAAATATCAAAATGTTACATGTATTTCTTATTTTTATGTTTAGCATTTATCCCTACCAGGGCCACCATTGACCACAAACACAGGCATAGAGAGGAAACAACAGACAAAGTGACAAATCCTAAAAAATTCATGACGAGTGATACTAGCTAAACTCGCTCGAATTCGTACAACCTTTTAACAACAGAATTTAAAAACTCTAAAATATACAAAGCCCTAAAAAATCAAACAGAAATAATGGGGAAAAAATGATGCCCTAACCAGCATATCAAAGGCTCAAAGCCCTCAAATCTCAATGCAAAAAGTCTAAAACTGAAAAACCAAAACATTAACTACTTCAAATTGGATGGAAGAAATCTCTAAACTAAAAGTGTGAATAAGAATAACCCTAAAATCTAAATGACAAAACTCAGAATAGTATTAATGATAATACTGCAGATGGACAGAGTGCACACAACACACTATAGGATTAAGATAGAGGATCCGACGAGAAGCAGGGCTCAGGAGGTGGAGGAGAGAAAGGCAGCAAGGCAGAAGCCAGATCCAGAGAGGCGAGAACTGAGAGTTGAGAGCGTCGAAGGCTCAAATTGAAAACTTGAAATAAAGTAATGAATAGGTTAAACTGCTAAACCTAAAACAAGGGCCCGAGTCATCATCTCATTGAGTCGAGCGTTTGAGTTGTGACAGCGAATCGTGTACGCATGTTGTGTTGGTCAATATCGGGTCTAAAATGGGTTTTCAAGTTGACCCGAATCCGGCCCCAAAATTGAAATGGGTTAAAAATCTGGACCCAAACTTGACCCATTCTTAAATCGGGTTGACCCTAAACCGAAAGACTTGATCGAATTCCAGTCGGATTTTCATGTCGTGTCAATTTTTCAAACCCCTATAAATAACCTATAGGTTTCCTGATAACATGCAATCAAACAAGAGCAAACCATGTAATTGAGATTGATTAGGTCATCTCCAACAAAAAAAAAACTCATTTTTCAATACAGTAATAGTCACATCAAGTATTAACTTGTCTTTAATTGAATTTTATTTCTTAATATCAAAAAAGAATATTCTGTATATATTCTTTTTATCTTTTTTTTTATATTTATTTTTAACCATTTTTAATATA